TCTCTCTCTCTATCCCTTTTTCTTGCATGAACATTTTGACTTTTCTTATTAGCATAACATCATCATCTGCTTAACTATTATGATTTGTTGAAAAATTTTCAGATTCAAGTTTTGTGCCTCCAATGATATATGCTGTGCTTGGGAGCTCAAGGGATCTTGCAGTCGGTCCAGTTTCAATTGCATCCCTGATAATGGGATCAATGTTGAGACAGCAAGTTTCGCCAACAAAAGACCCCATTCTGTTCCTTCAGCTGGCTTTCACCTCAACTTTCTTTGCAGGCCTTTTTCAATCTTCTTTGGGCTTCCTAAGGTTATATTTCATTAACTTCTGATGCTAGGGTCCTGTTACGGTACCATCCCATCGAATATTTTAGCCGTTGGATCCACATGTAGTTAGATAAGATAGATAATCTAACGGTTAAAACACCCAAAAGGATGGTACCGTAACGGTACCGTAGTATTTCCCATTAATTAGTAGCAACATCATATCATATTGAAGTACTTTCTGTTTTGGTTGATTCAGTTGTTGCAGGCTCGGATTTATCATCGACTTTCTTTCAAAAGCAACGCTGATAGGATTTATGGCGGGTGCAGCAATTATTGTTTCCCTTCAGCAGCTAAAGAGCCTTATGGGGATTACACATTTTACCAAACAAATGGGGATTGTTCCTGTTTTGACCTCTGTTTTCCACAACATACACGAGGTTGGCTCTTTTTGTTGAGTAGAATAAAGTTAAATCTTATCAACATGTTTTCTTTTACTTTTCTCCTCTGTTTTTTTCAAACCGGACCCGTAATTGACCTGGGTTGGACGCTAGGCCACTTATTGTTCAACAGTTGGGTCTTTAGCGTCAATTGATGAACTAAATAATTAATTTCCAAAATTTTGAAATTATATTTTATCAATATATCTAAAAATAAATATTTCATATTTAATTTTATCTGTAAGTCTTAATAATATTGTATGTTTTTTTAAATATTTACGGTATAAATATACATATTTTTACTTTAAAATAAAAATAATAAAAAAACAATCAGCAGTCGAGTCAAATTGGGTTGGCCGGCCAAGTTAAGATCAGGGCGGCTAGGTTTTGACTAGGTCCCGTGTTACTTGATCCAGCGAACACGTCCATATTTGTTATGGCTCGGATTCGACCTGTCGGACTCGGACAGTCCAAATCACATAACACTTTTTATTATTATTGTTATTATTTTCACTCGTTTATTATCATAAATTTTCTTATGTTTTGTTTATAGGTTTAACATATGAAAAATAAGATGAAAAATATGTAGGGTCTCAAAATTGCAACACAATGATGAAAGAGAAAATTGGGGGAATTTTAAAATTTGTATGGTATTCTTAAGGGTAATTCATGATCCTATTGTTATTTGTCCCTCCCACAAAAGCAAACTTTTTTGGCTTATTTCCAAGAAAACAAATGAAACAAAACAAATATATAAAGCGTATGAAGACAATTAATCACATGTTGACGCGTAATTTGGTCTGAATTATTTGTTAATTTCGTCTGTATTACGCATTTATGTTTTTAGTATTTTTTATTTTTACCAATAAATATCCAATTATTGCTCGAATCAACACTTTTTTTTTCTCCCATATATAATTTGATGTAGTGGTCATGGCAAACAATACTGATGGGCTTTTGCTTCCTGGTCTTCCTGCTTCTGACAAGACATATAGTACGTCTTCTTATATTACGGCATTCACATCTCTTTTAACACAAACTAGTATATAACCTGTGTGATATACGGGCTGTATTTAAAAGGAAAACATTATGTGCACCATTAATGCAAGAAAAGCAATCAAAGCTCAATGTTCAAAACTTTCACTAAAATGGTAGGGTTTCTTTTTACATTACTTTTTCTTGTTGCATTGCTAGCCTATATATATGCATAAATAAATGTCTGCGGCTGCTACAGCTTCTTATCTCTCTCACACGCACCTCGTGATTAGGGTTTTGCATAATCTCTCATTTA